GTATTATCTTTCTATACCACCTTTTTCTCTCGGTATTGCTTTTCTTTTTGTCACTTACCTATAAGTTGCGTCTCTGTTTTATTTTAGGCCCTCTCTTTTTCTGGGTTATTTTTTTTAGTCTGGCTCATTTTTCAATCCGTATCATCTATTTACTTTGCCGCTTTTTTTGCTTTACTTATCTATTTGTTCTGTGTTGTCTTTTCATTCTGTGTTGTTTTAGTTTCATTTTTTTCTGATCACTTCTCTTTTTAGACCGCTTTTTTCTTTTTATTTCAATTGCACTTTATCTTTGTATTACGTGGTCTATTATCTTAAGTTACTTTTCTTTCTGCAATCTGGGTCACTTCTCTTTCTGGGCTTGGGTCGCTTTTCTTTTTGTGTTGCCTTAATCTCAGTTTTTTTTCTGTAGATTTTCTCTTTTGGTTACTCTACTGTATTATGAACGACATGTTCTTTTCTGGCATTTATGACAATTACGGTGAAGTTATTAATGATAATGAAACTTCTATGAGTGTGTTTAACAATTTTGACATACAATACAATGAAGATTATGATGAACTTATGAACAATGATGGGACGTCTATGAATGTATATAGCAATTTTAACAAGCAATATAATGAAGATTATGATGACGATAATAGGGCTTCTACAGATAAATTTAATAATTTCAACATGCAATACATTGAAGATTATGGCAAATTTATGAATGATAATGGGACTTCTATGGATATAATTAACAATTTTAATATGCAATACAATAATGAAGAAAAAATGACTGGAGAGAATCAGATGAATGTGGAAAATGAGGATGAAGATGCTGGATCTATGGATGTGGAAAGTGAGAATGAAGATGCTGAATCTACATATTTATTGAAAAATCAGGTATTTCATGCAACAATTTTTAATTTATGTTGGTTTCTTGTTAGAAAAATGAGTTCAAACCTTTTATTAATAATAATTGGTTTTAGGTTGTTTGATTGTTATAGTCAAGCGCATGGATTTGCATTTTGTATAATCCACAGTGAGATTGACAAAGTTGATAATAAACCTCGGCATCATATATATTTATGCACAAAAGGTCAGAAATATAAGCAACATAAAGAAGCATATGTACTTGATAAGAGGAATAAAAGCTATAAGACAGAAGAATGTCTTTATCACATAAATATATATCGATGAAAAAATGATGGTCTGATTCGAATCTCAAGCATTGTCGGTAAACACAACCATAATATGGTTGAAAATATTACTATAGCTAAATTAAGACAATGGCGGTTAACAAAGGAAATGCAAGAGAATATTCGATTACTTGCGACTTGTGGTGTAAGAGCTGATACGATTATTGAGGTGTTACAAAAAAAAAACACTGAAAAATATATTCATGCTCGCAATGTATATAATATAATATAAACTATCCGTTATGAGAAACATAAAGTAGCAAGAGATGCAGGTAACACATATTTGGAACTTATTAAAAGACAACAGAAAGAACCCAGTTTTTATATTAATGCAAAGTTTGAAGGGATAGACAACCATCTGGTTAGTCTTCTATAGATGTGACCAAGCCAAATACAGTTGTGGGCAGATTTCATGATGTTGTTCTAATAGATACAACTTTTAAAACAAATTGCTATTCGTTAAAACTATGTGTTGTAATAGTTATCAACAATTACAATCATTCACACTTAGTAGCGACTGCAGTTATATCGAATGAAACTAAGGAAACTTTTTTGTGGGTTTTAGAAAATTTATTAAAGGCAACAAATAGATTAACACCAAAGTTATTATTCATAGATGCTGATTGTGCTATGGTTGCCGCTATAAATGAAGTACTTTCATATACAAAACACTATTTTTGTCTTTTTCACATTAGGAAAAATCTTGAAAAGCATTTTTTGAGTAAATATAAAGGTGACAAATGGAAAGAATTCTTTAATACATTCTGTCATACATGAAATAGTCATGTAGAAGCTGTTTTTGAAAAACATTGGATAGACTTATTACAAAAGTATCCTGATTCTGTACAATATTTAAAGAGACAGCTTTATCCTTATCAGGAAGCATAGGTTCTTTGCTTTACACATAGATTGTTTAATGCTGAAGTACAGACTATACAACATGTTGAATCGTATAATAGCATTATCAAAAAACATGTTAATGGGGCTTCATCTCTATATAAATTAAGCAATACTATTGACAAATTACTCATTAAGGAAGATCATTATCAACGCTTTAATGAAGTAATAGGTGTTTTGCCAAATATATAATGAAGACTATTATAGCAGATATTTTAAGACAATCGATGAATCATGCCAGAAATTTTTAACTACAGCAATTCTCAAAATTCAACGTCGTGAAATAAACTGTAGCATTCATTATCGAACTCGACTAGCTAATTTAAAAGATACATATGAAAGTTAAGCATGTTTTTTTTGTTATTTATTAAGACTAGAATAGTATCTGTAATGATTTTAATTTAAGGTTATGGTCAGGTTCAAAGTAAAGTAGTTTTATATGAATTAGATCAACTATTATACATCGCAATTTTGTGTTGAACAAATTTATTCATATTAGTTACTAATCTTCTTCTATAGTTGATGAATGATGTTTCAATTGGAATATTTAGTGATGATATGTTTAACGCATTTGTTATTGAGCTCAAATAACTAGTTATTAACTTAGATTATTCTCATATTCATGAAATTTGAAAGGTCTCATCAATTGATATGAAAAGCAAGCATTTTGTAGTACTATATGATGAGGCACTGCATCTTTGCACCTGCTTAACGTTAATTAACTGTGGTATTCCCTGCTAACATTTTTTTGTAGTAATGTTGTGTTCAAAAATAGCTAAGTTTCATATTGGGCTTATATCACATCGATGGTATTTAGATAAAGCAGCATATATAGTAGATATAGATATTTCAAGTGAGCCAGCAATTTCTACAATAATTAATGATCAGATTGAATCATTTAAGCACAACCTATTGCTAGATTTTGCACATATTGATAGTATTTGAGGGAGTTATGTTTTTATAAGTAAAGTACATAAAGAGATGTCACTAAAAAAACAATGGGATGAAGGGTTTGGTATTATGAAAAGACACTTGATTTAGCAATAGCAACAAGAAGATATGATGAGTTATATGAGATGCATCTTAAACTTGGGAAGAAATAAAAATGGAACTTATAGGATGTAACATTCTGAACAATAATCCTTCTCAATTTGCAGCTACGATTAGTAATCCAGTCAGTATTCGTTCAAAAGGCCGGAAACTAAGAAATGAACGAATAAAAGCATTTAATGACAATAAGTATAAAAAATTGAAGGCAACTCAAGTTAGTCATAGTGAGGCGTCAAGTATCTATAGAGATGAATTACTCGATATTATAAATATACATATGTCCTGTCATTGTGGAGTTTATAGTCAAACAGGGCATAATTCTCGAATATGCAATCTGGATAACACTACTCAAGATAGTTATAATGACAACGAGAATAACGATTTGTCATTGTCGAATTTAAATTTTGAGGACCTGGGTAAAAATTTCTTGAAAAATTTAAGGTTTATATCATTTAATTAAATAACTAAACTAATTGTTTTTTTTTTCTAATTCAGCTGTCCTGCCTTTGTTTATTTGGGATCAAGTTATTCAAAATTACAAGTAATTTATCTCTAACTACAGTAGATCCAACCAAATGAAGAACTCACCCACATG